AGGTATAGATTTGATATGAGGACTTGGTAGACTTTGTGACCCTGAAGGATTTAACATGCACCAGTCAGAATTTTATACATGGGTATTCTTCGGCAGACTGGATTCGAACTTCCATTTTTACGAACAAGAGCCCAACGCCCTACCAACCAGGCTATCCCGACCAAATTATTAGTTTATTTTTCATTAGTCATTGTACAGCTAACCCGATTTCGAGTTCACGACTACTAATGTTCAACTCTGTTGCCTTGTAATTTTGAATCCAATCCAGTAGACAAGGGAACTCCAGGATCAAGTATTGGGAGAAATTTTTGTCTTCGTGGAGGTCGTTCTCATGTAACTAACCCATATTTGAGTTACATGGAGAGGAAAACCACGAAAACCTCCCACGATTAATCTGGCAGCAAGGGGACTCTAACCCATGATCTGATACCATTGAGGATATTTTACGTCAGCAGTGTGGTCGGTGCGAGCCGGGTGTGGAATTCTTATCGACCAGCCTTCACCGGGATTTGAATCCGGTTCCATTCGGAGGCGAATGCTCTAACTCTTGAGCCCATCTGCCCTGAGCAATAACTCTGCGGGAGGTACCAATTTCACTGACTGCTACTTCTTTTATTCATTTGCCTAAATTTAGTCATCTTCAAAATGTAAATGGCAATTCAATCGTAATTTTTGCAAAAAAAANAAAAAAAAAAAAAAAAAAAAAAAAAAAAAAAAAAAAAAAAAAAACTTTTTTTTTCTTAATTTGCAATGATTAATGAGAAGCAACCACAAGAATTGGTGAGCAAAGGGAACAAGGGACGGTGCCTTCCAGTTTTTTAAATAATTTTTAAATTTTTAGTTTTTTAACATGCATATTTTTAAATAAACACCTAGCTTGCGGGGTATTATTTATTTAATTTTTTTTTAATTTAATAAACTGAGAATCTTTTGGATACTTGACATTCTTCATTTTGTTGAAAATTTCTGGACATGTTCTTTGTATAAAACTATTAAATACCTGTTCCCCCCCCCCCCTTTTTCNCCCCCCCCCCCCCAATTTTTCGAAAAAATATTTTTTTTTTAAAATTAAGATGCCAAAGTAGACCTGAAATTTTGAGAAAAACACATCTGTTCGCATGCGGCATTACAGTACCTTTTATGAAATGCGAACCATTGTACTGACCGCATTGAGAAAAAAAAAGGATGGTCAAAGATATTAGAACATGGTTAAATTTGCAGTATTTATGGGAGTACCAAAAAACAGGGTAATTTTTTTCCCGGCACGATAGGGTCATGACTTCTCAATGAAATTAATATAGTAAAAATATAGTTTTTTACCATGCTGTTCAGCAGTAAATGTGGTAAATTTTTGTAATTTCATCATGATACCGTAGAAAAACAGTTCAAAATGTGTTCTATGGAACTTTAGGGTTCCGGGGAGAGTTAAAAAGGTTTCGCGAATTAATACTTTTATAACTGCTAGTTAATACTTTTTATAATCTCTGATTATATTTAGATGCAACCTATAAATTATATCTTATATAATCGTTCGTTTTTTTTTATTAAATTATTTAAAGTAAAATACCAGTTAAGTAGAAATGGAATTATTTAAAGGAAAATATATTTCTGAAAACAATATGTTGAATGTTGAACAACCAACCTTTTCCTAATTTGGAAAAGAATAATCATTTATAAAATATTACATTAGTATTTCATATCACACTTTTCAAATCAAAATAAAATAACTAAATTCTTTTACAAAAGAAAATGTTTTCCAAATTACCATTTTTGACAAGTCTCTTCAAGCTCTTTTAGAAGTAAACCATAATTCGTCCTTTTTTAAATTCATTTTCAGCTTATGTTTACACACCAGAAATAAATTCAAAACTAGACTAGATATAGCACAAGGATTGCAAATTTAACTGTCGGATATAATACCTTATTAATAATATAATGACTGTTAATGATAAAATGAGAAAAAAAATTTATTCCTCTAATGAAATATTTTAAAAATACTCTTCTCTTAGGTTATAACATTCACAATTACTTTAATAAATTTTAATCGTAATGTCGGGGTTCCACCGATAGAAGACTTATTATTTAGTGTTCCATAGAGGTGAGCATAAATTATAACTGGGAGCCGCTGCTGTAGTGTTTCCAAAATTATTTTTTCTTCTTCCTTTTTCCCGCGAAAAATCATTTAAAATTGCCATGTATTCAGAATTTCAAAAAACAAACAAACAAACAAAAATCTCTATTAAATATATAATCGCCCTTCCTGCATGCCAAATTTTTATTATTTGCTTTGACTTCTACACTTATTTCAAATATTAATATTACAGATAAATTATTTTTATTGAACAGTGCAATTAAACTAAGTATACCAAATTCATTTAATTTTCTTCTGTATATCTAAATAAATATTTCGATAGAAATAGTAGGGAATTAGAAATTAATACCTTACATTTTATTTACATAAAAAGCGTGTATTTTTTTAAAAAAAAGTTTTTTTTTTATCTATTCCTGATTTTAGTACAATTCCCAATCAGTAAATTTTCTCTTTATCTCTTTTTCTAATGAATTAGATAAGAATAAATTATAATCAATTAGCAATTACATACTAGTAAAAAATAAGCCGTGTTGACTAAAAAAAAAATAATATAGAGAATAGACAAGAAATTAATCGCTACAAGGATAAAAATGAATGCACCAGCAACTCCGGGGCTGTTTAATACATCTTTATCCCCGTTTATAATCGAAGCAAATTTTTCAATCTTATAAAATGTACAAATATATATATTTTTATTCTTTTTCTAAGCCCTACACCCAGGGAAAGGTGAGGGCTTGAATGATATTGATACTAATACTGTTTCAAAATAATAATAATATTTCGTAAGCTGATATTATTTAATTGATGTTTGAACACACTAAATCTTAATGAAACACACTAAAGCTTTAGATCAATAACAATTAGTTTTAGATAATTAAATTATAGAATAATTATTTTTATTATAAAATGAAATGTTTAAAAGGACAATGTTTAATATTTAATCATTGAGAAAACATAACCCATATTGAAATCTAACGAAGTGCCCTTGATAAAATTTGTGACAGAAAAAAAATTAAAAGTCTAATAGATATCCGAATTTTAGAAACACCTTCTAGTTTTACAATTCATTCAAATTGGCTTGGATCACTTGATTTTAATGCTCTATCAAGCAAATTCACAATCTATCAGTAAAATTAAAATAAAATCACACCTGTTATCTCAATTTCATCCAGAATTGACCAAATAAAGAATTTTGGTAGATGTCAAAGAGGGAATTGAATAGTGGCCCACCATTTAAATAAATAAACAAAAAAATCACAAAATATTAAAAAAAATACTAAATAAATAAATACGATATATTTCTCTCCATATAGTTCAAATTACTGGATTAACCTTAATATTCATTTTAACAATGCTGCTTCAGATTTCTTACTTTTCCTTAGAAAATAACTATTTTATTACATTTGATGGTTCTTTAAGCAAAATTATCGCATTCCTTAGACACTTACTTATTGCTTTGTTGGTTCTTTAAATACTTAACCTTCAAAACAAAGTGGAAAAAATTACCCTTTGGAACGAAAGTTTTACCCAGTTCTTAAGCTCTTAAAAAATTATTTATACAACATATTTTTTAATTTGACAAAGTTTCTAACTTAAGTATAAAAATATCAATGTAAACAGTGGTCAAATGTTATAAGCTATTAGATAATTAATAATTTCAACTTTGAAATTTATTATGTTAAAAAATGTATAAATAAAAAACTGTGCAAAACTTCCATGTTTTCTTAATCACAATCAAAGTTGATTTGATAAAAACATTTGCTTACCTCCAAAGGTTATAAAATTATGTCTTCTTAATATCCTACGAAAATATTTATATAGAATTTCGACCTTTACGAATTCATGTACGATTAATTTGAAAAATAACAAAAAATCAATTATATAATTAAGTAAATTAAACAATTAGGCTATTTGAAACATTTCGGATAATTAAAGGGGAAAAAATAAATTAGAAAACAAATCAAAATTTCGCAAAAAAGAGAAATTAGAATTAAACGAGGACCACTTTAATGACAATGTGACTCAAGACAGAGTGGCCCAAAGAAATACTAACAAGACCTTCCCTCTATTTACAGCCCTAGAATTTATTTTTTATTCCAAGCAATTTATGACCAGAAATCAGAAAAAAGGGTGTTTCTGTGAATATCCGATATTTCAGAAGTAAGGACAAAAATGCCCAAGGCAATTTAAAGCAGCTAAAAACTCCCCTCCCCCCCCAGTGTAAAATGAGGCGGCTATTTGAAAACTCTGTGGGTGGTAGTTGCGAAAGCAGGGATATTTCATCAGTCAAAAGAGCGTTTTATTGCTCTTTTGGTAAGAAAAGCGAAGAGTAACAATTATTTTATATTTGTAAACACTTCGATTACATTTTGAAAAGCTTCCAACAATGTAAAAACGAAGAAAAAAAATGTATTTCGGGCTTCAGAGGGCCCCGGCTCCGAATAAAACTTTTTTTAAAAAGAAAAAAGAATTGGTATCTGGGGCCCTTGCCATCTCGGGGCCCAAAGCTACAGCTTATTTAGCTTATACGTAAATCCAGCCTTGGTGTATATAAATACAGACATACATGTGCAGGCAATTATTACTAGGTTTTATATGTAGCAAAAACGTGACTAACAAAGCCCTTGTTTGATTACTAGAAATAATACAAAAGAGTTAAAGATTGATTTTAGTAACACCCCCACGTTTTACTGGTAGTGAAACTGGTTTCGGTTTTCGTAGTCACGAGTGATTTGAAATAAAATTGTACATGTGCTTATGAACTTTTCGCTTAAATATCAATTTAAGACAGCTAAGACATACGCATTTTTTTGGAAAAGAGAAATTTTTAATAAGCAAGTGTTAAAGCTGGTTATTACAGAATATCCTTATTAGAAGTTGACGTATCATTGTATTTTTTGCCTTTCAGCATTTATTGGACTCATTTTTAAAGAAGAAGAAGAAACTGCTTTTGGGTGTTATCAGCTCTATCATGCTCTAGGATGTGCTGTGTTTTACGCCATAAACAACTATGTATGCACATATGTGAAAATATACATAATGTTAGCAATATCTGCAATCGCTATTATTTGTTATTTATTTGCAGAAAGAAACTATAGTTTAAGTAAAAAGCAGTATAAAAAAACATGCACTTCAATAAAATAACATTTTATAATAACTAAGAAGCTGTTGTGCTGCTTTGAAGGTGTTGTGCTTTCTACTGTGCGTACCTCTGTCGTCATATTTTACCAATAATAGAATATGCTTTTCTACTGTCTAAAGTTTTAATAAAGACATTACTGTTAACTTAGAGCTTTAAAGAGGCGAAAATTTAAATTTTTTTATGAGCCATAATGAATTGTATAAATGATGATGTATTTTTATGTATAAAGGATATTTATGGAGCGCTTAGTGAAAGAACTGGCTAAGTTACACGTAAGAGAATTTGAGTAAATGAGCGGTAAAGTTTAAACGTTCCATTTGTTTTTTTGTTCAATCTTTACGTTCTTATTTTGTGAAGGCATAACTCATAAAATGCTAGGATTTCTGTTTATTCGATTCTATTTCTTTGATAAAGAAATATTTTAATGATTTTTGTGCGCGGCATTTGCATGATTTCTCGGATGATTTTGAATGTTTTTGATCGAATATAATTTTGTTTAAAAAGATAAAATCAATATAAATAAATATTTAGGTTTATATTGATAGAATATTTAGGTTTATATTGATAGAATAAAATTTTAGCTACTTTACACACAGATCTCTCCACAGATCACCCTCTTTGACAGGTCCAAAAAATAGTTCTAATAATCCCCCCCAGATAATCAGTATTTTTTCGTGTTTCTGGGTTAGAGTCCATGTCTCTGATCCATAGATAACGGTAGGTCTGCCTATAGTCTTATAAACCTGAAGCTTTGTTTTCCTCGTTATTACTTTTGATGTCAGCAATCTCTTAAGTGAAACAAAACTGCGATTTCCAGCATTTAGTTACATAATAAAGAACTGCTTAATATGAACACAAATATAGTATATTATTCCTTTCATCTATAATTTCTTATGTCATTGCGATAAAAAAAATAATAGAGCATTAATAATTGTTTATTGCAAATAGAACGTTTTACTTTCTGATTTCTACTGACTTGTTGTTGCCTATAGGCAACGACAAGACAACATCCCTTCAGGGCAAGCAGTATTTTTTATTAAAGAGGAAATTAGTGGCATTAACAGGATTTCATTATTCATATTTATCTTGATTAATCAAATTATTTGTAATAATCATAAAATATTTGTAATGAAATTTTTATTCATATGAGGAAATATATGCTCATTTTTTTTTAAAAAGTTTAAAGTGAATGTAATGTTTACTTCGTATCAATGTGAACACCAAAACGCTATTTTTTCATTATGAGAGAATATTAACAATATTTATATAACATTTTCATAATGGGAGTATCTTCAGTACTTAAATTTATACACTAACTAGCAGACCCGACAGACGATGTCCTGTACACACGTCATTAATTGGAAAATTTCAAATTTTTTTGAATAAGCTGTTACAATCTGGATCGTTTTGATGCAAATTTTTATTAAAAAGTTATCATATTAACGTCATTTTATATATCTTATCANTTGATTAATAAAACGGGATATTTAGAAATTAGGCTGTGACTTAATGTCACATGTATACTATCAGTGAAGTTAAATGTAGAGGTTGTTTTAAATCAAAACTTAAACTTATTTCAATTAAAGGTAAAAAAAAGAAAACTTAAACTATTTTATAACAGATATATTTTTTCAATTAAAAAAAACTTAAGTTATCGTAATGCCATTAGATGTACAAAATTTTTGGTTAATCCTTCAGGAGCAAACACAGACAAATTCGAGGGTTTTCCAACTCTGGAACACGCAACATGTAATTGACCGTGAGAAAAGCACGGGTTT